TATATATATATATATATATATATATATATATATATATATATATATATATATATATATATAAATGAATATATATATATAATATATATATATATATATATATATATATATATATATATATATATATATATATATATATTATATATATATATATATATATATATATATATATATATATATATACATTTACTGATGCATAATTAGGTGAGTCAAGGCCACTCGTTTTTAGTGTTTTTGTTCTGTTTTAAGTTTCATTCCTACGAGACTTTAACGCATTCACTGTACCCTGTCTTGCGAGCCTATACAATTCAATGTGTATCATGTCTTGCGAGTACAAGCAAGTGCTACATCCGATCAGGAGCCTATATAAGCCGCGTCATGACAAAACCAACATAATGAGTTTGCGACCAGCATGGATCCAGACCAGCCTGCGCATCCGCGCAGTCTGATAAGGATCCATGCTGTTCGCTTACAAACCCTATAACAAGTAGAGACACTGATAGCGAACAGTATGGATCCTGATCAGACTGCGCGGATGCGCAGGCTGGTCTGGATCCATGCTGGTCGCAAACCCATTATGTTGGTTTTGTCATGACGCGGCTCATATATTTTAACTTGAACCTTTCTTGTGATAACAGGAAGTAGACTTGTTAATAATTATACTGTGTATCAAACTCCTCCTCACAGTGATAACATCCCTTACTGCCACCACAGACGTCACATGATGATGATGAAAGTCACATGATGCAACATCGAAATTCGACCGTTACATAGAAAATCTAACGTCATTTTTTTCGAACCTTCGTTCGTTATAGTTTATCAAAAATATCAAAAGTATGCAAAATAATGAAAAAATAAATTCAAAAGCTAAAAAAAAAATAAAATAAACAAAATATTGTTAAAAATGTGTTTTCTGTACTGATAAGGGAAGATCACTGCGTAGGAGATTGACTGTATATGACACTACAAAATATAATAAGGGTTTTAATATAACACATTAAAATATAACACACTGTACAGATATTACATACAATTTTAGTTATTTTAAAACGGTAATAAAATATATTTCCTTACATCTCAAATAGACTTGAAAAAATGTGTGTACATGTCCGTAGTCTTATGTTTTAAATATAAAAAAGTCAGTTGTTATATTCAATGTTAAAATAAGATTTATGTTTACCAGTTTTATCCATTAAATTTATGTTTTCTTTCGTGATTATTTTTTTTGTCGCCCCAAACTGAAAAGAAGTCGTCAACGACGATCAATATACCTGTTTCTATGTATAAATTGTGTATGTTCAGTAAATGATTGATGCGTAAGGAAATCAAATTTAGATAAATATTTCATCAACACCGTACAGTAATCTATTATTATAGATTTGACAGACCCTTTTTGCAATGCCTGAAGGAAAGTTCAAGTTATACACTAAAACCTAATTGCTTTTTGTTACAAGATCTTGTATTTACTTACTAAATTGTTTTTGAACTAATATATATCTACCTACACTTGAAACATTTAAAGGTCAGTAGGTGGGTCAAGTGGTAAAGGTGTCCATTTTTCAACCTAGGGATCGAACACTAAATAAACTTAATTTCTTTTTCAAAAATCAAACAAAATGTTATGTTTTAATTTTAATAGAATAGAGCTAAATTAGATGAATCACATGACTATTTTTATTTGACCACAAAACAGAAACCTTTTGCGTATAGAAATAATTCACTCAAACGGTATTTTATGTACAACGTCATTTTAATAAATCATCAAAAATTTACTTTTTATTAGCTATAAGAAAGTGAAAAACAGCTTTTATATGCTCGAATAAAAAACTGTACACAAAAATACTGTACAAATAAAATCAAACTCAAAGAAAAGAAAGCCACGGATCGTAAATTGACAAGAGCTTGTTATAAATCAGGAAACTATTTTGTCGACACACCCTTGCGTTGAAATGAACACATAATTCTTAAAACGCCACAACCATGTGGTACGAAAAAAATTCATGGCAATTTGGTCAAGTCAAACGTTGTTCAAAACCCACCCACGTCATTCTTATTAATGTTATAATAATGTTCAACGCCTTTAAACCAATATTTTATCAAGTTAATATATATATATATAAACTGTCTAAACAATAGGATTATTGGATTATATATTTAAAGACCGACATCGACGCGTTCTATAAAGTGTGTAGCAACAATTACATGTTAAGAAGTCAGTCAAATGCTAGAATAAATAATAATAATAATAATAATAATAATAATAATAATAATAATAATAATAATAATAATAATAAACCCTGTACAAAATATTACCATTATTCACGGAATACCACGATATATAGAAAGTATTTATCAGGCAGACTTTGCTGTAGATATCACTAAAAGCGACATGGCTCCAGATCCATGCTGGTAATTTTCATGAAAATTTTTCAAATGCATTAACAATAAAAATTTATCAAGTGAACAAAGAAGCTAATTTGGACATTGCAAATTTAATTAAGTGTCAGCCCCTCAACACATGAATCATTGGTCCGAGCCCTAATCGGGTCACGACCATGTTTCTTCACCAGTACTGGTTGGTTTAGAAAGTGATTAATATATGTTGCAAAAACGTGTTTCGCAATCAAGTTTAAATAAATTTGTTTAAACAAGTATAATTGCATTTCCGATGGCATTTATTACCATGCCATTAGCTATCCCTTTGCAATACGGATCATTCCGGAAACGCCAGTACTTATATTAATGACATAATGAATCAAATTGTCACAAAAAACTTACTTTATAGAGTATAAAACACTACTGATATTAGAGAAATATGGAATATGGTTTCCCTTCTCGATACAAACTACCTGTTGCTGATGGTTATATAATGTTAGTTTGGAGAAATTCCAGGTCATATTGTTCAAAAGTCATGATGTTATCTTAATATGCATGTTTCTCTGACTTGTTGATAGGTTCCGTGAATTATCGTCTGTTTGTTTCCATAACAAACAAGAACGCGCGCGAGATCTTCTGTATGTATCAATAACAAACATGAACGCGCGCGTGATTCAGTCACGTATTGCACTTGCATTCTTGGAATAATTTCATGGAATCAGATTTGAGTTGTTTGACACGAGGAATTTCAAAATCTTGAAATAAATCCATCTCATCCTGAGATTATATATCTTCTAGCTTGTTCTCTACATTTTGCAAAAAAATACAGGCAGTTCTGTCAATGAAGACCACATGCTGGAATTGGGCCAGTGAATATATATCTGTCTAATACAGGCAGCTCTGTAAAAGAAGACCACATGCTGGATTTTTTGGTGATTAAAATCTGTAATAAAAAGCTTGTTAACCCAAAATATAGCAACCAAACCTTTGTAAAATACATATTGTTTTTGTAATATATATTAGTGTTAGCAGTCAATAGAATTTTTGTTTATTTCAGAAAAGAAATACTCAGTGGCCTCCTTGGTTACCAAGGAAACAGTACGCATTCGGGTATGCTCGGTTCTTAAGGAGACATAAACTAATGGGTAAATTCTTCAACTGGATAGGAGGTACTTAAATATTCTTTTTTCTAACTCCAAAAGTATCTATCATAATTATATACGGCCATTATATGCTATGAAATGGAATGACCTTTCTATTAGATGTTGGGCATAGTTGATATTTCGAGTAGGATCGTCTGTCACTTTCAGTATTGTATGTTTGACTTAGAATACCGTATTTGCACTGCTATTGAAAGACACGACTTGTTTACATGTAATTGCGGAATAAATGCTCCCGGACGATAAAACTCCCACAGTATATCATTTTGTCTTGTGGCAATAGTCCTTATTTCATAACAAGTATGACATTAGTAAAATATTAACTTGTCAGCATACCCTCGCCCAATGTTTGTATATGATAAATTAAGCAATCGCATCATCTCGGCCATTTCCGTCAAACTTCGGAAGTTATTATTGATAATAGCCGAGATGTCCCGATTTATAAATAAGTTAGTAACACCTGACACAACATGTGGCATTTCTTCCGACTTCCCTTCGTGGCGTGCACGTCGCTCGGAAGGCATAGGTCACACCAGATGGGTGACCTAGTTAGGTCACTTAGCTGGTGTGACCTAACCAACGACGAAGGGTGTGGCCCTAAAGAGAGCTGCTGCTCCGGAAGAGGTGCCTTTCCTCCTATTGTCATTTGTTCATTTGAGCGAAGAATTTGGTCCTAGGAAGACCTACGACGATCGACAGCTTTGAGAAGACTCCGTCGCGGCTCTACGACATCGACGACGTTGCAGGCGAATAAGTCCTCCGTTGCAGGCTCTACGTTACCAGCAATCGTAATAGAGGCCGACTAGTCTGGGACATATGGGAAACCGGCGCCCAGTATAAATAAAACTAAAAACACACACAGACACAACATGCATTTAATCTTTTTTTCTTTCGAAAGTACTACGAATATTACAAAATATTCCAATTCTCTTACTTTAGACAAATTGCATGATCTCCAGAAGTTGCACATATATTTTTTTCAAACATACCCACGTCAAAAGTCTATTAATTTTGTTGTTATGACAGATTTTGCTATTTATTGCATATCATTTGGTTTCCTTTTCAATAAGATAAAAATATATATATATTTTTCTTTTCAGGTGATATATACATACCAGTTTTGTGGCAGGCACCGCTACTAGAATCAGACGATAAACTTCCGGTTCTCGTAATGTCTCACGGTATTGGCGGGAATCGCACGACATATAGCACGTTCTGCTGCGAGATAGCGTCTCACGGTTTTATCGTGGTCGTCCCGGAACACCGGGATGGAAGCGCGTCTATGACCTACTTATTAAAAGACAATATGAGGGGGACTGTTGTGGAATTATTGAAAGATCACGAGTGTGGATTACATAGGAGACATACCATGCATAAATCTCACAGTTTCACTGAAGAGTGGCAATCCTTTGAACACACAGATCCACTTGGAATTCAATGGGATGACTACGATTATAGAAATAAACAGGTAAATAACAGCTTTCTTGGTAAATAACATCGTATTAGCCTATCTTATCAAGATATAAAAAACGTCATTTCAATATCAACGTTTTCAATTACAGCATAACTTAGGCAATAGTGTGAATGCCTTTTTACGATATGTGCCTACATCACGTGACTTTTTGCGATCTGCGTGTAGCATTTTCACTAGGATGAGCGGGCTCTATACACGTTATTCCATAAAAATTTATAAAATATTTTTAAAAAACGTTATGGCGGGAAATAAAATCTTGACCGTCTTTTGTTTTGGCTTTCTGTCCCACACGAATAAAAAAGTCATGTGTATAGGCGTCGTAATTTTGTACGAATGTTACTTCTGTTGAATATGGAGATGAAATTCTGAATTAACGTGCTGTGTTTAATCTAAAATGTATGTTTGATTATAAACCTCTTGAGTAAGTTGAATCTTTAAACTAAAGAAATGCTTTGAACTTGAAATGTATGCCGCCAGTTTGAGAGGATTGCGGTGTAACAGTTTCTGGAAAACAAAATGAAAACAAGAAAATACTTTTATCAGAAACAAATATGAGGAGTCATTGACCTCGTTTTCGATTACCTTTCCAGAGATGTTAGATTGGTTCATACCCATCATATCATTTCTCAAAGATATAACAAGTAGAGATTTTGATGCTAAAGCATCAAGTCGCCGGATAGAAAATGACTGTATTATCATAAATATAAAAAAATATCAGTTTAATTAATGGTTCAGGTATAAAGAAAAGAGGAACAATATGTTGAGTAACTGTTTATTCACAATAAAACATCATATATGAAGCAAATTTGCTTAGCAATATTGTCAAGGAACTGCTATGATTATTATTACTATATAAAACATACGTTGATAAATCGTGTCATTTCTAGCATTTTTTTTATTTCATAATTTTGATTAATTTTGTAAGGCGAGTGATATTCTTGTAATTCTACTTGTAATTCTACCTTATACATATACCGTTATACCAGACATCGAAATCCGTTTTGTATACTTCAGAATCCGATAATTACCGCCAAATAATCAAAAGTCATCGAATATTTGAAAATATATATGTTTTAATTATTGCATAAAAAACAATGCAATTCTACCGTAAAAGTGGTATCTGCATAAAAAAAATTTTGTGCGCTATCGAAAAAAAATACATTATTTAGTTGAAATCAATATTCCTGTCGTTACATACGATATAGTAAACGTTTAATTGCCTTTCAGTTTGATTAAATATTAACAATAAGATATTTTATTAGTTTTCTTTATTATGTATCTAATACGATCCGTCATACCGTTTTGGTAATCTGCGCGACGGAAATCGACGGAATATAACGAAGACGACGATTACCACTATTTATTTCAATAAATGTGCCTATTTAGCATAAATCTTTTTTGTGATGTTCAACCTAAACTAAACTATTGAACGTTGACAGAAAGGGCCAAGTTTAACCCTTTACCAAGAAAAAATGAAAAGGTTTTGAAAATTTATTTAATTCTTTAATGTGCTAATTATGAGTATACAGACCTTTCTAATGATATAAAACTGATTAATGAAAGATAACCTTGTAATTATTTATACATTTGCATCTAATTAGCCGCCATACCGTTTTCCAACTACATGTAGTAATGTCTTATCAGCAATCTGTTAATTGCTATTAATAGATTCTATAACACTAACATACAACGTGTAGTCACGTGATTCTTACAATAGAACAGGGAGAATCTGTTTATAATTAGATAAAATAATGAAATATAATAGGTCTCATAAGATATAAACAACCAAATAATTTAAATGTGTCATTTCAAATATCATTCATGATTTATCAATCATAAAATAGCAACGCTTGACACTTAGAAAAAAAAGTAAAAGTATCCCTAAATTCAATGACTGGTCCATAGGGATACGTTAGTAATTCATTTTATGAAAATTGTAATGTTGCTTTTTAAGATGTCAATATTTGTATATTTCATTTCATTTAGCAACGTTACTTTATTTTTGAATTTTTATGATTATGAAAAATAATTGTGGTCCTTAATTGTTCAGTAATTGATTTGCTTTAATATACAGATTTTAAGGCCTTCTCCTACCATAGATATAATATTAAACTGTTACAAATATAGTCGCCGGTTTCTACCGGCGACTAATGATTCGTGATCACGTGATATGATTCGTGATCACGTGATCTGAGATAGCAGACGATAAGATATAGTTACCTGTGCGCCTCCTGGAGGCATGCTGTTTTATTATATCATTATCTTACCATGCTAGTTAATCCTTCAAAAGCTGTTAGACTCATTGGTTCCAGCCAATTACCTGTACATGTATATTCTAATACTTTGTCAAGATGTTTGATATTTGGTATAATATTAGCGGTGTTTCTTTTATCCTCTAAATCTACATGTCTTCGTTCCATCTAAAATGCACTATAAACATATTAACCCAAATACCATACGTACACAATCACGGTACCTGTACCATGTGACTTTTTGTCAGAAAACCAATGCAAAAGACAGTCAAGTCTTTAACGTTCTATCATAACTTTTTATGAATTGTTGCCGGGCTTATCTGTTGTCCGTGAACAATTTAATTTAATACACAGCTTTATTGCACCATTCATTCAGAATTATAATTTTAAAGGCACATATTGCCGTAGAAATCCGTATTTTTTAGTTCTTTAGAATTGTCACATCAGGCCCGTCGTCACGATTTTGTGATTGGTGCGGCCAATTTGGTTGCTTTAGCCAGAATCTAGTGGGTACGGGGCCATGCTCCCCCGGAAATTTTTTTATTCTAGGATGCTCCCAGGGGTGTTTTCCCGTATATTTGGCATAGTTTACAGCCTGTCGCTAGTACATGTTATAATAATATGTCCACGATTTTTCACAGATTTAAGTGCTACGTAAGTTTTAAGGGTGAAATTTAAGGCTCACATAACGAACGGACAGGTGTACAGCAGTAACTTATTTTGTCACGTATTTTGTTCACAATAATCTTACACATCACAGAGTCTCATTTTATGTAAATTTTCCTAAAACACATTGCCGTCGTTCTCTGGTGGTAATGAACTCATCGGCAATTACACGTAAGTTGAGTGAATCTGTCCTGTACTTATGAATATGTAACTCCATTAGATCATTCAAGCGTATAAACACATATGATATGTGTTTAATAATGTTTAAATAATGGATTAAGAGCATGTTAGATGTTTTACAACTAGCACTTAAAGGGACTGAAAATATTTTTTCCCAGATAAATGGACCATTTGATGTAGGTTTAGACTTCAGATCATTCGCGCACTTCGTTTTTCCGGAATAATTATTCAAATTGTAAAAAAATGACACAAAATGAAAGACGTTTAAACGCTTTTCAATCCAAAGCATAAGAATACGATTTTCAATTTATTTCAAAGTATATTTCTTAACTATCTTTGCATATATTTCTGTTTAAAGTGCCCCAGCTCATGAATGTAAGAAATCAAAATGTTATG